CTTTCCTTTTCTCCTCTGCTGTTTTAGACCCCTTGTCCTACTGTAATTTTTTTGTTTTTCATTGTTCTTATCAACTTCTGAGATACTTAGTTATTATGTTTGGGGTTTATTCCCAATGGGTCTCTTCCCATTGAATGTAAGTTCCTTTAGAGCAGGGATCTTTGCTTTGTTTACTGATGTAACAGAAGCTCCTTGAAGAGTACCTGGCATCTTGTAGGAAAGCACAATCTGTTTGTTGAATAAACAAATGAATCCCCAAAGCAAAAATAGACTCAAATCCTTTCCACCCAGGCCTCAAATCATTTACACAGGAAATGTTCCAAAGAAAATAAGTAACTCATAGTTAAAAATGAAAAAGCGCACTAGGAAAAGAGGCACCAAAAAAGGACAAGCATAAAAGAAAAAGATCCAGAAAGATTTTGTAACAGTCATATAATGCAAAGAGTAAAAAATTATAGTTAAGCATGTTTTTGTTTTATTTTTAAATTTTTTAATTATTTATTTTTTAATCTTTGGTTTTTCTGTTCAGCATGTTTGAAAGAAAATAAGTGGTTTTAAAACTAGGATCAGGGTAAAGAAACTAAAAAATTATCAAGTAAATTTTTAAAAAATTCTAGAAATGAAAATATACTAATTAAAATGAAAAAATTCAGCAGGCAGATTTAACAGTATATTAGACACAGCTAAAGACAGCGAATGAACTGCTAGATCTAGAAAAACTGCCTAGCATGCAATTCTGAAGCGAAGATTAGAAAATATGTTTTCAGGGGTGGTGGGCAGCTAAGACAAGAAAGACAGAGTTATGATGGTATAAAAAAATACTAGCTGATATTCCCAGCATTGTTGGAAGACAAGACGAAACCTGTCAGTTTCAATGCATGATAAAGGAAAAGAAATTCTCACCCAGGGACAGAGAAGCTGCAGTATACCAAAGAAAAGACATCTCACAAGCAATTATTTTCTAAAGAGCAAAAAAGGCAAATCATACATACTCTTAAAAAAATCAACAATTAAATTTATGAGCGACCCTTGGACAACAAAAACAGATGCCAGAAGATATCTTTTTTTTTTTTAAGATTTTATTTATTTATTTGACAGACAGAGATCACAAGTAGGCAGAGAAGGAGGCAGGGAAGCAGGCTCCCTGCTGAGCAGAGAGCCTGATGCGGGGCTTGATCCCAGGACCCTGAGATCATACCCTGAGCTGAAGACAGAGGCTTAACCCACTGAGCCACCCAGGCACCCTTCCAGAAGATATCTTTAATGTTCTGAGACAGTGAGAAAGAGGAACTAAACTGAATTCATTACCTGCTTGAAAAAATCTTTTTCCCAGACTGACAAAAACAAAGACTTTAGGACCCAGACTGGAGGAGATGATAAAGAAAAATGTATTTCAAGCAGAAGGAAAAAGATTATAAATAAAAGGTCTGAGATTCAAGAGGGGACAGTGAGCAAAGATATTGGTAAATATTTAAATATAATTCGGCAACATCAAAACAATAAAGCAAAGTAGTGTCAGATTTGTTTCGATACAAATCTGAACCAAAGTACTTTTATAGCTTATAGATTGGAAAAAGGGTGATCACAGTTGTAGCATGAAGGTTTTCGTAGTTTTCAGTAGGAAGATAATCCACTCATAAACTTTAGACTATATTAAGTGTGCATGTTAATATTGCTAGGAAAAAGTCTGAAATAGGCCTAACTTCCAAACAAGTACAAGAAAAAAATTTAAAAAGAAAAAAGAAGAAACCCCTCATTCCAAAAGAAGGAAAGAAATCTGGGGAAAAACTATTTGAATAGGCATAATAAAATAAGAAGTAAGCTAAAGCACTTAAAAAGGAATAATAATATATGTAATGCTAGGTTTGTCAAAGGAAAACAATCGTCAGACTACAAACTCTAACTGAAAGATAGAAAAAGAGATAGACAAATACTAATCTAAGCTGTTATAGCTATATTAATATCAGACGAAGTAAACTTTGAACAAAAAAAAGTCATTGAAATAAGTATCGGTACCTAATGATAAAAGACAGAAAATCAAACGGTTCTGAACTTTTATACAGTGAATAATGTGGCCTCAAAATATAAAGCAAAAATTAACAGGAATCAAAGATAAATGCCCAATGGCGTAGGGGATTTTTTACATAATTTTCAAACAGAAAAAGTCTGAGCACAATTAAGCTCATTCTGATGGACATGTATAAGCCATGCATATCATTTTATGGACTATATTTTTTTCAAGCAAATATAAAAATCTTTGAAAATTGGTCATGTGCTAGGTCATAACATGAGCCTCAAAAATTGTCATAGAAACCACATTTTTTGACCACAGTGCACTTATGACAAAAAGATAACTAAAAAAAAAAAAAAAAAAATCCCAGCTGTAGAAGTTAAAATCCAACAGTTTTTAGAAACACAAGTCTAAAGAGAAATTGTAATGGAAACATGAAAATACTTAAGACTGCACATGGAAATACTCAAAATAAAGTTGTGTTAGGGTAATATTTAGTTAAGGCAATATTTAGAGGACGATTTATAGCCTAAATTCTTCCATTGGGGGAAAAAAAAGGCTCAGTATGAATGAACAAAGCATGTGAGGAGTTAGAAAATTAAGAATATAATAAATCTAGAAGGGGGAGGGGCACCTGGGTGGCTCAGTGGGTTAAAGCCTCTGCCTTCAGCTCGAGTCATGATCTCAAGGTCCTGGGATCGAGCCTCTCATCGGGCTCTATGCTCAGCGGGAGGCTTGCTTCCTCCTCTCTCTGCCTGCTTCTCTGCCTACTTGTGATTTCTGTCTCTCAAATAAATAAAATCTTTAAAAAAAAAACTAAAAGGGGGAAATAGCATAAATCCATGATAGAGAAAATAAATATTCAGTGAAGAGGATCAATGAGACAAAGGTTGATTCTTTGAAGAAACTAAAAATAGAGAAGTGTCTGGTAAGATTTTTCAAGAAAAAGGAAAAAGGGACATCTCAAACAATAAAAGGGATGAAAATGTAGATATAACCAGTGATTCAGTAAAGAAATGAAAAAAGGATGTTATTAACTTTAAACCAATAGTTTTGAAACACACACAAAATGTATAAGGAAAAATATGTTTACCAAAATTAACTGATTTAAAAAGAAATAGAAAATATGGGTCGTGGTTTAGCCTCAAAGTAAATCGCATCTCGTAGTTTAAGATTTTTCAACAATGGAAACAGCAAGCCTAGATAGCTCTAGAATTATATTCTACCCAATGTTTAAAGAATAAATAATTCTATGTATATACAAACACTTCCAAAGACTAGAAGAAAGTATGATCACTAATTTATGAGATTAGCAATACTCTAACACAAAGGGGAGACTAGGGTTGTATAAGAATCTCAATTTCACTCATGAACTTGGCTACAAAAATCCTAAACAAAATGTTAGCAAAGCATATCCTGTGATAGAAAGATAATATCAGGTTGTGTTTTGCCAGGAAGGCAAGTTGAATGATACTAGACAGTCACTTTTCTGAAATAACACTTAGGCGAATTACCCCAACCCTCCTACTAAATGCAAAGAGACTGGACAAATTGCATTGTATACACACAAATCTTCAAAGCATCAGAGGGCTTAAGAATGTAGTGAAGAATCACTGGGCCGTCATCAGGAAGGTTTGGCCTACTTTTCCCCTGGAAGGTGGGGAGGGGGAGGGGGAGTTTACTGATCACCGAAGAAGCGAGAGGCTGAGAAGGACTTGCAAAAATCATCCAAAGCTAGAGCAACTGAGTGTCAAGTCCAGAGCCCACCAGACTGTGTGCAAATGAAGGGAGGCATTGGTACAGCTCTAATGCTTTGGGTTGGCCTGTGTCCTTGGGATGAGCTGTAAGAAGACCGGAGTGTGTGTGCATTTCAGCCTGGCTTCAAATCGTATCAGGCCCAGGAAATGCAATAAAGTTATCTCATATTATAAGGGCCCCCAGATGCTGGGCAGAAGCAGACAGAAATCCTCTCTGAGAAAGATATCCTCCTAGGATTCGAGTTAGTTTGTATTTTTTTCAAATTCAATGAGTGGCACTCAGAAGAGAATAATCAGGCAAACAAGGATGAAAGGCAACATGGATGAGAACGGATATAGACAACAAAATAGAAGCAGACCCAAAAGAAGTTATTACAAAAATACGGAGGAGATGTAAGTCACCAATTTTCAGTCTATTGATTAAATTACCGGGAAATGTGTTCATAAAAAAGTTGGAGAAAATGTAGAACTGCACAAAAGAGGGGAAAGTAAATTTCGGTTTATGAAGGAAGGTTTGTATATTTATAAAATAATTTGTTAGGTCTAATATGAATCTTTTTATAGCTTTGTGTACCTTTTCTTGTGATATATTCTTCCCAGCTAGTATTTTATTTTATTTTTTATTTTTTTTAAAGATTTATTTATTTGACAGAGAGAGAGAGTGCATGAACGGGGTACAGGGGAAAGGCAAAGGAAGGCTCTCTGATGCGGGGCTCGATCCTAGAACCCTGGCATCATGACCTAGCTGAAGGCAGACACTTAACCAACTGAGCCACCCAGGTGCCCCCTGCCCCCTGCTAGTATTTTAAAATAAGATCAAGAGTCATCAGTGTGGGCTGATTTAAAACTTCTTCTGTTGAAAATCAGAGAATTAGGCCTACAGCAGCAGCCCCAAAGAAAAACATACAGAAAAACCTAAATGCTTTGAAAAGGATCTAGATCAGCAGAATGTACTACAGCAATTTTTATTTGTGATACGTGTCATTGTTGAATCGGCCTCCCCAGTAACTATACAAATGGGATTGCTTTGTGATGAGTGTCATACCGGGTTGTTCCTGGTCCTTGGGCAGAGGAGAAAGGGTTGCTGTTTCCAGTTGCACTCTCTAAGAGCAAAGCAACGCACATGTGAGTTGTAAATAATAATTGTTTTTGTCTTTAAATAAGACATCGAAGCTTTTATTTTTCCCCCCGAGTTTTAACTGAAGTCTTCTGGCCACTTTTTCTTTCTACAGAATGAACATGTCAATTACGTAGATGTTGGCGGGGCTTATGTGGGACCAACCCAGAACAGAATCTTACGTTTATCCAAGGAGCTGGGTCTAGAGACTTACAAAGTGAACGTAAATGAACGTCTTGTACAATATGTCAAGGTAAGTCTGACATTTTACTCAACTGACCAGTGGGAGAGCACTGTATTTGGGAAAGTATTTGTTTTTGTTTTTAGTTGTTTTTTTTCTCAAAGCCATTCTACCAGTAGGCTGTCAGCTCTACAGTAGTATTCCGTGTTTTCTTTTCTTTTTTCTTTTTAAAAAATCCTTGTGAACTCTGGGAATCACTGCCCGCATCAGCTTGGCTCTCCTCCACATCATCCACTGTAGTACACCTTGAATTCTCCACCCTCACCCCAGTCCAACTGGAGTAGGGGTAGGAGGCTCTCAGCATTTTTTTCCTCTTCACCCTTTATGGAGAGTGGGGGATGGGGAGATGAGGGGAGCGGGACTCATCTGTGGTGGGAGCACACACACACACACAGTGCCCTGGGCAGCCCCCCGGGCACCTATGAGGCAATTCTAAGGCCCCAAGGAACACAGTAGTCTGAGGCCATTTCTTAAGACTGAACAGGTTATTCATTCTCATTCTTACCTGACATGTCTTTGCACACCTTGATAATTTCCTCTGTGTCACGCCTTGACTCTTGGGAAGTCTAGCTGGGTTGTGCAGTTTCGTACTGTTGAAATGAGATTATTTAAACTCTGCTGACATCCATGCAGGAAACGACAGCTGTTGCCAGTGTTATTCTTTCTTACTGAAGCCCAGCATCGAGCAGCTGGAGTCTGGAGATGTGCCTTGAGAGGTCACAAGTTCTCTGACCTGCCATTGCAGTTTACTCATTCTTTATTTTTTTATATATACATTTATGTATTTATTGGAGAAAGAGTGACAGAGCACAGCGGGGAGGGGGCAGAGGGAGAGGGAGAGAATCCTTTTTTTTCTTTTTTGTATTCAGTTAGCCACTGTATAGTACATAATTAGTGGTAGAGTCTTAAGCAGGCTTGGGGCTGAGCACAGAGCCTTACATGGGGCTCGATCCCATGACCCTGAGATCACCACCTGAGCCAAAACGAAGAGTCGGAGGCTTAACCCACTGCACCACCCAGGAGCCCCTCATTTACTCATTCTAATGCCCGGATTCCCGCACAAGTAACCACATCACTTCTCAACAACTTCCCCCAGCTCCCCAGGCAAGCAGGCTCCACACCTGCGGGGACTTCTGAAGCTTGGGATCGAGAGAACCTGTGAGGGTATGCACACTGATGCACAATCAGGGAACTCTGGGGAAATTCCTATAGCTGGTTTGGGATGGTTCGGGATGCTTGGGGGAAGAGTCTGGCAAAATGGGGTTCAGAAATCCAGGGAGGAATGAAGAAAGTATGAAAGTATAAAAAATGACGCAAATTGTTGATGAACGCAGGTTCCCAGAGGCTTCATGATCACAAAGGGAAAACACCCCTTTGCTTCCCCACTTTCTCTTTTCTGCGTGGGACGGTGTTTCCCCGGACTAGGCAATAACACTAAGAATGGTAGCGACTAACATTTGATGAGCACATTTGCGTGTGTTAGCCTACATAACATATTCGCACTCAACTACTAATTACACAAAGAGTCACGTCCATTCACTCCCCAGTCCAACTGGGAGGCAAATGAGTCTGGTGATTGTCCTGGAACCTGAGCAGACTTGTGCTTCTAACTTCTGCCTGTTGAACATTCAGGAGCTGAGAGATTTTTATTTTCCCTGGAGGCTCACAGTAAATAACAAAGTGCTCTTTTTATGCACAAACTCCTTACATCCACTGTGTTAGGCAGGTATAATCGTCCCCATTTTACAGGGGAGAAAGCTGAGGTTCGGCAAAGGAAAGCAACTTGACAAGGCTATGGAACTATTAATGGTCTGCCTATCCCCTGAGCTCCTACTCTTCATCAATTTTAGGACTGACTTAACAAATATGCACCTTTTTAAGGGATGAAACTAAACACCATTCTTTTCATCTAAGACCTAATCTCATCTAAAGTAAAGACGGATCCTAGAAGTTCGATTAAACAGACCATCCCCTCACATACCGTAACCTGCCAAAGAACATGTGTTTTCCCCCAAGTTAGACAGCAATGTTAAGGTAAAACTATAGTGGGTCAGTTAGAGGTTAAGTTACTTTACCTGAATGAATACCTTTCTGCTAGGGTTCTAGTAAATCGTATCATTTCTGCAATGAGAAATATTCAGTGGGGTTGATGTTTTTATAATGACCAGGAAGTTGTAAAGCGAGGAGGCCAGATTAGGGGACTCTTATATTCCATGTAAGATTATTAATAAACCATACGGCAAAAAAATAATTCCACTTATTTAAAAATATATCAACCCTCACTGTTCCGTCCACTTCTGGGGGGAAGAAATTGATCTTTTCCCATCACCGTAGTGCATAGGGTTAATAATGCAAATTTTCTTCATGGCACTCTCTGCATTGGCTCTTGTGACAACCCGAGCTTCTATAATCTCCCACAGTGTTTTCTTTTCAGTAAATACCACCAAAATGGTAGTGGATGAATCAGCAGAAGATTGCCATTGTCTAGTTAAAACTAAGCCGTATTAGTTATGGTCCAGGTTGCCTTAGCTGTTAAATTTTCCCAGTGTGCAGCCGTAAAGAATGGCTCAGTTATTTCTTCTGGCAGCAGACTGTAGTGCATCAAGTTTCAACGTGTTCTAGTATGATTTTTATTATTCATCAAAGAATTTTTCGTAACCTTTGGTAGATCGCGTTGGCAGTGCAAATTTCCACACAGCAGTGTGGAGTTCCAAGCCTGCGCCTCTGAGCTGAACACTCTTTCCCTTCCCAGGGAGACTCCATCTAATCACAGAGAGTTCATGTCATTATTGGCAAATTTATTCATTAGTTCAATAAATAGTTACTGTAGAGTCTTCTCTGTACAAGATACTGTTCTAGGCTGGAAATGGTAGACACATGATCAAAGTTCCTGCTTTCATGGAGCTTACCATTAGCTAACATTTCTGCCTGTATTCTTCATGGATCTTGTGAATAGAATACCTATCCTAATTCTGGTTTAGTAGATCCTGATTCTTTTCTCTTCAGTTTCTTTCTTTATTTATTTTTAAAATAATCTCTACACCCGACCTGGGGCTTGAACTCACAACCCCAAGATCAAGCATCCCATGCTCTACCCACTGAGCCGGCCAGGCCACCTAGGGGATCCTGATTCTTATAGAATAGGTTTTTGAACAGATTTTATGAATGTGGTGAATTTGATACAGTTCTGTTTAGGCGATTATATCTCATTTGTGAAATTAAATTAACCATGCTGTCTTTACCCTAAAAGGTGGATTTGAAGTGGCATCAGCTAGGTGTGTCTAAAACACTCTATCACTTCTTTTCCTCTGGATGGTGTTAAGACAAGTAGATGGACTTGAGTGCTTCTTGGATTGATTGATCGGTTACTTGCATTAGTAAATTAGATGCACCATCATTACGATTATTTTATGAGTAAGTTTCATGGAGTTGTGGAGACTTTTTGTTAAATTTTGCAGTGCTGAGTCTTAAAGAAGGAGGAAGAAATGCTTGATTTCTTTTTTCTTTTTTCTTCTTTTAATTTATTTATTAGAGAGAGAGAGTGTGTGTGTGCACAAGTAGGCAGAGGGAGAGGGAGAAGCAGGCTCCCGGCTGAGCAAGGGAGCCTGATGTGGGGCTTGATCCCAGGACCCAGATATCATGACCTCAGCCAAAGGCAGAAACTTTGACTGAGCCACTCAGGCGCTCCTGTTTTTTTTTTTTTTCTTCTTTCCTTTTAATGGGTTCTTCCAGATATTCATAATGCAGGTACGCTGTAGAGAGGGAGAACGCTGCCTCGAGAGATGAAGCAAGGCATTTGGCAGGCGCCGCTCTGAAGGAGAAATTGACACATTTATGCATTCCCACTTTCTCCCTAAATAAAAATGGAAACTCTAAATATATACCACACATTTCTTTTTAGAGAATGGTGTGATAAAAATTTATTTAAAACAATGTAGGCTTTCCTGATAGTAACAGCTCACCAAGCAAGTTTTCTAGTATGGGTTCTGTTCTTCCCACAGCTGTTTACTTGAGGTTTCTATGCCAACGACTGAAATCAAAGGCTTTTCAGAATGTGTGTGCTCTGGAATACTAAGTAAAAATTTTTTTGTTGTTGCAAAGAGGTGAACTCTGTTTTAACCAGAAGGCCATGTTGAAAGCAGGGGATTTATTTTTTCTTAGTTTGTCTATATGCTTGCCAGAAATAACTGTATCTTTGACCCCTTGCTTTATAATAGAGTGTTTCTCTAGGATTAGGGACATATATTTTTAAACTGCTTTCAACACCTTTCCGTATCAATTCACAGAAGGTATATCTTTTGTGTTCAAAGAAAGTTATGCTTTCACTTTCAAGTCTGCTCAGTAGGAAAGGCAAGGAACCAAAGGCTCTTGTAGGGGTATTGCTTGTTGTGTCTTTGTCTCCTTTCTTTTAATCACTTATATCCATCCCGCCTCACTCCATGCACAGGTGTTGCCTTCCATCTGTAATGTGCCTATACTTGTGTTGCCTCATGTGAGTTGCCTAGTGATCCTATGCCGTAATAAGAATCCCCTCCATCTTACAGATGAGAAAACTGAGGCTCAGATAGCTTAGGCACCACAGTCAGGCTTTCCATGTCTTGAGCCCAGGGTTCTGTGGGTTATGTCACATCGTTCCTTATTCCACAGGCAGAAGGTCAACTTGTAAATCTCTGTAAAAGACAGCTGTGAGGTATGACAAAAATCACCTTACCCCAAAGGGTTCTGAACTCCTGACATGCTACTCAGACAGTAGGGGCTCCTGTGGACCTGGCTTCCTGTGGACACAGGTACTGGGAGCCATATGTGGTTCCATTTACCAGGGTGGCTGCTTCTCTTGCATCCTGAGCCATAAATCTGGAGCCTCTGGGGCCTTCAGTGAGCACCTGACTCCCAAGGAACCCCCAGAGAACCCCAGTTAGGCTCAGCAGGCTGAAGACTACAGATAGTTTCTATTACAGTGTTAGACTACTAAGTCTAGAGGTCTAGGACATGCTTTGTAATTGTTGGGTATA